TGTAATCCCAGCCACTTTGGGAGGTCCGAGCAGGTTGCGATCACGAGGTCAGGAAGAGTTGAGATATCCTGGCGTAACACAGTGAAAACGCCTGGGTCTCTACTAAAAATACAAAAAAAAAAAAAAAAAAAAAAATTAGCCAGGCTGTGTGGTGGCAGGCCACTGTTGCCCAGCCTACTCGAGAGGCTGAGGCAGGAGAATGGCTTGAACCCGGAGGCAGAGGCCTTGCGGCGGTGAGCCGAGATTGCACCACTGCACTCCAGCCTGGGCGACAGAGCGAGACTCCATCTCAAAAAAAAAAAAAAATCATGTTTTTTAGGCTGGACCCAATGGCTGACACCTGTAATCCCTGCACTTTGGGAGTCCAAGGCAGGCAGATCATTTGAGGTGAGGAATTCGAAACCAGCCTGACCAACATGGTGAAATCCTGTCTCTACTCAAAATACAAAAATTAGCCGGGTGTGGTGGTGGGCGCCCATAATCCCAGCTACTCGGGAGGCTGAGGCCTGAGAATTGCTTGAGCCCGGGAGGCAGAGGTTGCAGTGAGCACACACACACACACGCACACACACACACACACACAAAGCCGAGTCTCCTCCAGCAGGTTGCATTCACCACTGCCGTACAGCAGGTGGATTAGAGAAGTAGTTCACAGACTGTTTTGTGCCTTAGAATCTCCTTAGAGAAGCAGTGATTGGAGGCAGAGCTCAGCAATCTGCATCTTTAACAGCTTCCTTGGTATGAGTTCTTTGAACTGATATTGTGGTTCTAATGTGTCACATGTCCTGGAGACTTAGCAGTGAAGGAGACAGACATGGTTCCTGCTTTCTTGGGATTTACTGTCAAGTGGAAGAGACAGACCTTAGACCATTACACAAGTAATTATTTTTTATTTTTTTTTTAATTTTTTTGAGATAGAGTCTCACTTTGTCACCCAGGCTGGAGTGCAGTGGTGTGATCTTGGCTCATTGCAGCACCCGCCTCCAGGGTTCAAACGATTCTCCTGCTTCGGCCTCCCGAGTAGCTGGGATTACAGACATGTGCTACCATGCCTGGCTAATTTTTGTATTTTTAGTAGAGACAGGATTTTACTATGTTGGCCAGGCTGGTCTTGAACTCCCGACCTCAGGTGATCCACCCACTTCAGCCTCCCAAGGTGCTGGGATTATAGGCGTGAACCACCACGCCTGGACGAATTATTTAAATTACAATTTTGATTGGCACCTCAAAGGGAAAATATGAGGTGCTGCGAGGGCATTCACCACCTAGCAGGAGAGCCTTTTCTTCCAAGGAGATATGTTGGGACTTTTGCAGAAGCTCCAACACATCCAAGAAAAGCAATTTCCCACCCACTGAAGCACCTTCTCGAAACCTCAGGGCTCCATGGAACAGAGTTCAAAAACTGCTCATTCACATTCCTCTTTAGTGGATGCTGTCGTGTGCTACCCAGACTGTGGCACTCATTTTCCCACATCCCCCACTCCATCAAGTTGCTGAAGAATTTCAGCTGAGTCTCTCTCTGGGCACTATCCTGAGTGGAAAGGAGCCACTGAGCTCATGGTTACGCCTCCTTCCAACAGTCTGCCTCCAATGACTGGTTCATGGGAGAGAAGAGTACAAAGGCCTGGCCCCTCAGCCTCCATTTGAAACAACTCTGAAAGATTATCCCAGCTTTATTGTCCCCCTTAGGATCAGATGAGCCTTCTGTTGCAGTGGCATTGCAGCCCAACTTCTGCCCAGTTATGCTTCTAACTGTCATGTAATATGATTCCCCAATAAACCCTCTGTAGGCAAATCTCCATCTCAGTCTCCTTAAAAGAGTGCTTGAACTAAAACACCCTCATTACAGATGGTGAAAATAAAGACCAGAGTGGGGAAATGACCTGCCTGAGGTCTCACAAGCCTGAACCTTCAGATCCTCTTCAGAGTCTGTCACCACCCTGTGCCACAGTCCTACAACTTCCGGCCTTGACTTTCCCTTCCTGAGGCTAGAGGCAACAGCTGTAATGGCCAGAATAGTTTCTCACTCCAATGGCTGGAGACCTCGGACAAGTGAATTCCCCTCTCTGGGGAGGTTAAGTATTGCCCGAGTGCAACATCCTCTCTCAAGTCTACCTCTGTGCAATGTGCCTGGTCCTGAGAAAAACCACGTCTCAGCTGGTGATGGCAGCAGAAATTCCTTCCTCCCATGTCCAAATCACCTCTGACCTCATAGTTGGATTCTATTTGGAGTGGTGGTGGGGAACCTTGAGCTCTGTCCCATTTCTGAGTTTCCAAACTCACATTTCAAGAAGGAACCTCTTTTCTTTTTTCTTTTTTGAGACAGAGTCTCGCTCTGACACCCAGACTGGAGTGCAGTGGTGAGATCTCGGCTTACTGCAACCTCCGCCTCCCAGGTTCAAGCAATTCTCCTGCTTCAGCCTCCTGAGTAGTTGGGATTGCAGGCGTGTGCCACCACGCTCGGCTAATTTTTGTATTTTTAGTAAAGACAGGGTTTCACCATGTTGGCCAGGCTGGTCTCAAACTCCTGACCTCGTGGTCCACCCACCTCGGCTTCCCAAAGTCCTGGAATTACAGGCGTGAGCCACTGCGCCCGGCAGGAAGCTCTTTTCTTTGTTCATGCCGCCATTATCAAGTGCTTTACTATGTCCCAGCTGCTGCTCATGCTGGCAGGACAGCAGTGAATGAGACACAGTTGTGGTCCTCATGGGCCTTTCAACCCCAGTGGGAAAAATGAACAGCACACAAATTCTTTGGTGTTTTTTTGTTTGTTTGTTTGTTTGTTTTTGAGATGAAGACTCACTCTGTCACCTAGGCTTGAGGGCAGTGGCATAATCTCTTCTCACTGCAACCTCTGCCTCCTGGGTTCAAGCGATCCTCCCACTTCAGCCTCCTAAGTAC